CTCAAACCTGTCCTAGTAACCAGGTTCTAAGGAGCTCAATATCACTGGATTGCTTCCTTGGTCATTGTTTCAACTCAAGCCTCTTTAATGGCGACCGAAATATCCCAAGAAACCAAACCTTAATGAGTGTAGTATCGAGTATCTACCAACTTTGAACTGCACCAAAGCCGGTCATCTCACTACATCTTAAAGGCCAAGTTGGTCAAGTAAAGGTTCTAAAAGTTCATTAGCGCTTCATGACATCACTCAGCGGCCCCATATTCTCTTTGATTAACTCAAAGGCTACCGGTACCCACAAATATGTCGCACTAATGTAGCTATTGCTTAGACCATGTCGGTATACCCCGCACAATTTCCATAATGTATTGCTACTTACCTATAATGTATCCCAAATTCGGGTAGAGGATTCAAACCCAAACAAAGAACCATAATGTAAAGCATACAAGTCAAACAATTTAAGCAAATAAATGTGATCTAATCCCTAAGGTAACCCCACTTTTAGAATTTTCCCCAGCAGATTCTCCAGTTCTGTGATGCGATGGGAGAACTGACTTAAGGGTTTTGCGTTTGATCGCAAATGTTGCGATTAGCAAGAGTCGCCACCGAATTTTCTTTTATCCAAAAGGAAAGGTGAAAAAGCATAGGAAAGACCTTTGAGATTGTTTCTTAAGTTCGGGGGGTAGATTATGAAAAGGGAAGGTATTAGCACCTTTTTCATCCATGGTTTTCCATAGGCTCTTAGTTACTTGCTAGATCACTTGCTTTTGTTTGAAATTGTGCGTTGTGTGGTTTTTGAAAATATTTTGTAAAGAGGTCATTGTTTAGGCAATCTTTGTAATGATTCTCGTTCGTAAGAATGTATACAAAGACGTCAATCTTTTGAAAATCTTTTCAAGTTTTGTAAGATGTTTTGAAAGTGTATGTGATTGTTTTGAAAACAGCAAGGATGTTTGTTTTAAAAATGGAGCAAGTAATTAGGATCAATCTACCTACTCAAATTCCTTTCTTGTTCATTTTCTTTTCCTTTGACATTGTTGTCTTACCATTGATTTGGTAAGCAACCCTATCTTTGGATGTTTACGGGACGGGTGTGGGTCATCGTATAGCCATGATTAGCAATGTTCCAATGTATCTTAGCATTCTATTTTAGGGACTAAGATCATTTGAAAGGCAACTTAGATAGCGTCATCGAGGGACTATGATCTTGTAGTTGCTTGTTTTTGCTAAGATACCTTACATGCGTAATATGGCCATTTTGTAAGGCAACCAAGTGGGATAACCCTAGGGGTGCTTGTGTGCAAATGTGTTATTTTCATGCTTGTTTTTGTCTTGGATTAGGGTTTTCTATTTGATTTATTTTATCTTCCCATACAAACCCTAATTACTAGCATGTTATGTGAAAGCGATAAATTGCGAAATTTAAAGTTACTACGCTATAACAACATTTGTGGGAGGGGGGGGGGGGGGGGGAATACAATTTTTGAATGGGGATTGCAATAATATAAACCTAATTAATCTATTACAACCAAATTGAATTTGTACAAGAATTGGAATATACAATATGAATTAAATATGCAAGAATTATAAATGCAAAGAAAAAGATTTTGGTTTGGTTTCTTAAGAAAAAAAAGGTCTTGATTTTAACCTAATTAGATAAAGAAAATAATTTGTCAAGTTTAATATTATTAAGAAAAAGATTCTTGAATAAAACCCTAATTCTACTTAAAAAGAAAAGAAGTTTATAAAAAAAGTATTTTTTTTTATATTTTATATTTTTTGTCTTGAAAAATAAATTATAGTGTTATAAAATATTCTTTAGTCTTTTTGATATCAAAAATATATTTTCATTAGTATAAAATAAATAATATTTTAGTTTTAACTAAAAATTTACAAGGAAATTAATAAAAGTAAATAAAGTATGATAAATAAAGTAATTTTTATGTGGAAAAATAATTAAATTATATCAAAATATAAATCTAGATTTTTTATACTTTTTAATGATATTTTTGGTATTTTAGAAAAATATATTTAAAAGAAAAAATAAATAAAGAAATAAATAAAAATAAAATGGGCCAAGGGGTGTCACAAATAAAAAGGGAAGTATGCTAGCAAAAACAAAAAAATGCCAGGCCCAAAGGGCCCATCGCCTGCAAAAAGATGTTAGAAAAATCAGAAAAAATGGAAAAATGCAAAAGGGGGGTTCACATTGGTTCGAACCCTCGCCCTTTAGGTAACATATGCCTTAGTACGCGCGCGCTTGCCACTGGGGTGGCTGTTTCATCCGGTCATATAATCAAAGCATAAATATATATATTAGAAACTGCTTTCTGAAGGGAACTTCATCTTCAACCTTGAGCCATGGCCGGGCCACCTGTATCTTCCTCATTTCTCCATAAAAATGGAAAGTTCAAACATGAAAGTTGTGGTGTTTCTTCCCATGAATTCAACCATATAACTTATGTAAACTAAAAGTCAAAGATAAAATCTAATTTTACTGGCCCTAAATTGAAACCTAATTTTCTCAGAAATTTCAAATCCAAAATTCTCTATATACAGTTAATATAAATGGAAACTATGAACATGGTTAGCTTTAGAGCAAGGATATCTACATTTTGTTTTCACAAATCAGGATCAAATGATGCTTATATGAAGAGATAGAAGTTTGAGTTTTTACCTCTTGCAGCTGGAGTCGTGAATGGAGTTTGAGCAACTTTTGAGATGGCCTGAGGATCTGTTTAGCTTGCCTGGACTTCCTTGAGTGTATTCCAACTCTTACTTTGCCTTGAAAGTTCCTGAATATCTCTACTCAAGTCAACCTGCAAGCTTGATATTTGAAAATGGTGGATAGATATGGAGGAGCTACAGTCTTTAAACAGGGGCCTGGATTGCTTTGGTATGATGTATAGAAGGTGTTTGAGTGATTAGTTTTTAAAACGCACGAGTGAAAATGAAGATCATGAGTTTTTGGTTTAGAACTGTATGTTAATGGTGTTCTTGAACAGGTTTTTGGTTCTTGAATGTTTGAGGCAGTTTCAGGGCAATAGCATTCGTCTGTCAACTTGCAAATAGTGTGTCTACTTATAAGCAATAGGTTTTAAGACTTGTAACAACTCAGATTTCAAAACTCACATGTTTTTCTTGGTTACTTGTTTTTGAAGCAAAGCTAGCAAGCATGGTTTCAATGTGAAGTATAAAGCTTGTAGGGGGGCTGAGACCTTTAAACACACTTGTTCTAATTGTGTAGAGTGTGTTTATGCAGAAATAACAAATGCAAGGCTCAATGCAAGTTGACTTTGCATAAAGCTTGCTTTTCTAAAATGGCAATGTTGCCTTTCTTCCCAAAATGGAATTGAATTTGTACAATGCATTGAATGCTTGGATTAAAGCTTCCAACAACTGCGAAAACATTTCATTATGGAGTGAAAGTCAAGTTAGAAGCCTGCAAAGTGGTATTTGTACAGCATTCTTGAGGATTGGATCCAATGTTCTTCACAAAATGACTTGTAATCCAAGTGACAAAACACCAACTTCATCTCTTCGATTCTCCCTACTAAAGAATGATCTCAAGGAGTTCTTGGACATTTTGGAAAGCTTGCAATGTTCTCTACAACTCATATTTGAATTTCTTTTGAATATTCCCCTTGGAACTATGTGAAAAATTTCCATGAAGTTAGGTCAAAATCTGCCTAACTAGGGCAAAATTTAACTAAGTCATTTTTTAGTTCATGAGCATGTATTCACAAAATTATAACTTGAGATCTAAGAATTTTTAGGAGAAGTTGTATGAAGCAAAGTTGTATATTTCATGGAGATCTACAACTTTCATGTTGGAAGTTTCTCTTGAATCATTTTGCATCATGGTGAAAATTTGGCTCAAAGTTGTGAAAAAATAAGAAATTTTCTATACTTAGAAAAAACTCTAAGTTAAGAAATTTCATCTTTTCAAAATAAAATCTTGAATTCTTGATTTCTTGATGAAAAAGTTTCATATTTTGACATGTTTTGATGAATTATGACCTTTGGCACTTGAATTTGACCAAAAAGTCAAAGTTTGACTTTTCAGTATACAATTGACTTTTGATCAGTTGACTGAAAAATTCATCTGACAATCCAATGGACTTATAGTGTTTTGAGCAATGTTATTAGGTCAAAGTGATGCAATTGGACTCTTGAGATCATTCCTTAACCCAATTGATCATTTGCTAGGTCAATAACCAAAAATTTCCCTTTCCCAGTCAAAACCTTAATTTTGACCATTTTGCCCTTTTGATGATTTGATCAAATTTCTTGAGGAGTTGTGGTCCAAACTTGATCAAATGACACATATGAGTTTAAAATGTTGATGTGGATAAAAAATTATGAAGTTTGGCTGTAAATTGGCCATGGTTGACTTTTTCCCTAATATAATTGATTTTTAGGTCAACTGTTCAATTGACTGATCAAAAGTGTGATCCAAGGCTTGAAACTTGTCATGAGTAATCTTGGAGGTCCATAATAGTACATGAAAGTCATATGAATCATTGATAGTCCAAAAATACTTGTGCAATCTCAAACCCTAATTTTTAGTCATTAGTGCTTGAGGAGGTGTCTTGAGTTGATCAACCCAAATGCAGTCTTGAGCCAAAGGAGATCTTGTGAGAAAATTATTGATAAGTGAGAGGGAAAATTTTGGGGTACAACACCTTGTATTCGTGTCAATATTGGAATACTTTTAAGGAATCCCATACAACTGAGTGTAGTTGCGTGGGAACTATTTGAAGGTGCCCTAACACCTCTTTTTCAAAAAAGGTCAGAGGGGGCCAAATACATAACTTTTGAAAGGTTCAATCATAGAAAGGGATAGAACATCCTTCAAACTTGCTATATATATTTTTGTCAGTTGGAATGGTGAAGATGGACCAATCAGAGGATGATCCCACCTCGAAAGTAACCTTCTTCATGACAACCTCCTAAATATAATAAGAAAATATCCCCATGTATGCAGGATCAACCCATAGATATTAACCAACATCAGTTAGCTCCATTAATTCCTTAGTTCGAACCATTTCTATCTCTACACCATGAAAGGAATTATTCTGATCAACAACAATGAACAACAAGGGGGAGATTTTTCTTGAGGGACCAGATAAAGCAACCAGTCTCATGCTCCACCATCTTATATAAAGTAATAGCCAAGTTAAATTCAGCGCAAGCAAGGGAGGCAGCGCAAACGACAACTTCCATTTTCGACGAATTGCCCTTATCACTTCATGAATCCAACCCTGGCCCAGAGCTGCAACTAGGCATATTCTAGACATGAGCGGGAGAATCCACCCTGTAGAAAATATCCATGATTTTTGGGTTCTCAACTACAACTGGTGAGGACTTATCACTATCAAGACCAAGATCATTGTTTATGAGTATATTTTTCGGGTTAACCATAACGAGACACAGAGTAATGATGATGTACCTTGAGAAGAGAATACATGAGGCGAAGAATAACCCACAAATGAAGAAGACAACGAAAGGTTGAAGTTGTTGGAATACGTGAACAAGAGAAAACACTCGTGAGGGGGAGGCATATTCCTAATGATAAACAAAACAAAAGAGACATTTGGAAAAATCTAAACCTTTTATAATAAATGAACATTGAACCAACGATACAAATTTAAAGTTGAGGAGAAATCTAAAGGTTACAGACCAACCATTATTGTGGAAGATAAACAATTTATACGCACTCGAACATCATAAGTAGGGGAACCACACCCTAACCTGCAGACCTAGGGCCACACTTCTCAGGGAGTCGCAAAACATCTCAATGATGGGAAAACATTTAATTCACTTGTTACCCACTACATTTGTAAGCGCTCCATGATCATCCTACTTCTCCCTATAGTCGGATGAGATAGGAAAAGGTTGGCCACAACTTTAAAAGACTTCCAAACTAGTATATTCATGGAAAGCCTTGGGGGAAATTTTTCTAGAACAACCAAAGGCCCAATACAAGGGCCTAATCATGGACAAACCCAATCAAGTTTATCCGATGTATATTGTCAGCGCAGGTGAGATTCAAGGTACTTTTTTATAATCTTAATTTTCACTATATTCATCTTGCGCTTTGTAATTGACTCGAGCATTGAAGTTCTAACCTGACAGGTCCATCCATCATCGTCGTACTGGAGATCAACATCATCAATTCTGAAGTCATACATCACCAATCAACACCAATTCTAGTTCTGATATGAAAAAAGTTCCAAAGAATGTTATGTCCATATATGTTAATGATTATGTATGGTATGAAAAATATTTTATGGAGAATGGTGCATGATGGCCAGTCCAACCTTCCTAAATTACTTGAATCTAGATTCAACCAAACAATCATCCAATTCCAAGAAGGAAACATTGGGTTAATCATAGTGTTTAACCTATATACCCTCATTGTCCCCTCAGTACCACCATTCTAAGGGATCCTGATTTATGACCCTATGTTATCAAGAAACAACACAATCACACTATCAATGTATTATAAACCTTACGTTTAAAATTATATGGTGAAAATTGCCAAACTCTCTTTTGGATTAAGAACATGTCAACCTAATCATAAGGAGAAAACAAATATTTGGTTTGATAAAGACTTGTGTAGGGTGGTTGAAGGCATTGTGGTTGGTGGAGGTTATTTTTTAGGGACCTTCAATGGATGGTGGCTTCTTTACCTATTTCAGTTGGGTATTAGATTTGTACTCAACAATTGAGGTGGTTCTCAATAGAGTACCATATTATCCTTAAATATGACCTTATTATTCCTTATTTCCTATTGATGAGGCTTGCTCCAGTGGCTCAAAGGCGTATTTGGATACCTTTAAGGAACACATAATTCATTATAGGGAGCTCCCAAGCTTAAAATATCGACATTTCTTTGCTAGTGGTGTCTTATTTGACATATTTCGACAAGCCAGAGTATCCGTGAAGAAGGATGCGCATGTGAATTTTTCGACTGACTCATAGGAGGGGAATCTACACTTATGCCACAGATGTTCTGGTGTACAAGTGGGTAAATAAACATGATTGTGTTGTCTTGATTGGGATTTCTCCACTGACGGGACTAAGGACTACAAATTTTACTGTGAGTCAAACAACCCTCAAAATTGTTTCAATTAAAGTGATTAAACATGCGAAAATGTGTTCCGCAACAACGTACTTTTTTACCATTTATCTATGACACTTTTGATTTCTAGTAGAGGCATATAATCTTTTAGAGAGAGTTCAAAGACTCGTACATATCAACATTGAGTAGAACAATAAATATAATTTTCAATAGAATCGATTTTACCATCTAAAAAGAAGAATTAACGTTCTATTTTTTATATTATCTAATTACCATTATATGGGATCCTGTTCTAGATTAGGCCGACACCTTCCCCATTGTTGGGGAGTCCCAATCCAGTGCCTCTACACATGCCCAAATGCATGCAGCCCAATCCAATGACCCTTGGGTATTTTCCCATGTGTCCACTAAGGGAACGTGCCTCGCGGGTGCCCATAACTGCCATCATCCTGCCCACCGAGAATAACGGGTCCAAGTTCCCTATATTCTAGGGGCAGTTGAACAGGAAATAGGCCACGTGCTGGACCCCATCACACGTAACCTTGACAATATCATTATTGGGCCCCATCGTGGCCCAATAGTGCAGATCTTGGCCCAGCGTTGGGGGCTATAAATACCCTCTCACTTGAGAGGGTAAGGTATTCACTCATTCATACTCTCACTACTTGCACTTTGCTCTGAATCTTACTTTGGCATCAGAGTGTCTTGCAGGTACCCCCTACATCACTTTCAACCACCGTTCAACACAAGCTTGTGGGCCATCGACGATCTCTTCTGGTCAGGTACGATCAATGGTGTCGTATATGGGAAAACTGCTTCCCCGTCTTTATCTAACTTAATACCAAAGCAAACTCTTTCAATCTCTCGATCGTTATGGCTGACCAAGTCAACAACAATGACGAAAAGGTGCACTTCGTCGAGGTCAACAAAAACAACATCGGCGACCAAGAGCACAATGACAGGGACGGAAGAACTTCTTCTTCCTCAACTCCCATGCATCTGCTCGACCCACTTCCTCAGCAGGACTACAAGCCCGTAGTGTATTAGGAGATCCTCGTACCTGAGAATGTTGACCATACGACCAAGGCCCCGTTTGCGGAGATCAACCAAACAAACTGCTTGATCTTCGCCTAGGGTGAACGCCTTGGAATGCTAGAGAGGACCCGTTGTTCCCCCAAAAAACACAGAAGACGGGACTCACGGACTCTGTGTCCCCGGTGACGTGAGGAACACTCCCAGACTTCTCCGTGGAGACACTGACGGGAGGATTCTCAAAGCCCTCTCCCCGTTGCACCGGACGAGGCCCTGCATTGGAGAGGACCCAACCCAAAGCTGTCAAAAAGTGCGGTCATACTCCCCCGTGCAAGGAACAACGATCCTCTGAATGTAAAAGAAACATAGGTGACGAAGAAAAAAAGACTCGGCCGAGGAATCCTTCCCGACACAAAGACCGCCGCTACAATCGTTCCCCCTCTCGCTCCCCAGAATGAACCGACAAAGACGACCCCTGCGGTCCACTGTCCCAGGCCATTATGGACGCCCCTATTTCTAAGGGGATGGTGAACCCCCCCCCCCCCCCCCTCTGAAGGAGTATGATGGCATTGCAGACCTTGTCGACCACCTCGACAACTTTAAGGCCATGCTTCATGATCACAACATCAAAGGTTCTATCAATGCAGATTGTTCCCCATGACACTGAGGAAGATGTCCATGGACTAGTATAAAAGTCTCCCCCCAGGTCAATCACCTCGTGGAGGAGTCTGAAGATCCAATTCGCCAATAACTTCACAACATCTCGCCAGCACCCTAAAATCGAGGCCGCCCTCGAGGCTATCATCTAGAGGAGCGATGAGACTTTCATGGAATACATCGATTGGTTCAACCGTGAGGCCACTCAGGCCCCCTTGATCGATCACATGAAGAGATACCTGCTCGAGAGGGGACTCCTCTTAGGCACAGAGTTCATAAAGGAAGTCGGCATCGAGCCTCCCAGCCTTTTGATGCACTTCTCGACAAATCCCGGGCCTACATGATCTACGAGGAAAAGGAGGCCGCCAACAACGCCTGCGATTCAAGGAACCACATATCGACCCACATCCCATGGCACAAATACGATCCCTTCCGCATCCCCGGCGGCCTCGAAGATGACGAGCCCTTGTTCACCCATAGTAGGTGGGAGAAGTTCCCCTCTACCATGGTCATATCTGGTAGGGGGTGGTTCAGCGAAGTCTTAGTGAATTCAGAAAAAAGGAAATTCAACAAGCTGATAGATGCAGCCCCGATCCAGGTTGTAACCCTTGAAAAATTCAAGGGAAAATTTGAGCCAATCACATTTTATCTCAAGGAGCTGCCCGGCTGAGCCCCTAACTCCAACATCCCTCTGCTCGTGAGGGCGAGGATGGCCAACTTTAACGTACATCGCATCCTTGTCGACGAGGGGAGTTTTGTCGACGAGGGGATTTTTGTCGATGTCATGTACACCCAACTGTTTCGCACCCTGCAACTCGATAATTCTCACCTGTCACCATACGTGGGGTCCAACCTACAAGGGTTCAATGACTCGACCTCTAAGCCATGGGGTTATATCGAGCTGTTCGTCACATTCAAGGAAGAAACTGCATCCCGACAAGTCAAAGTGAATTTTCTGGTGATCAACTTCCCCTCTCTCTACAACTGCATCCGGGAGAGACCAACACTGGCCGAGCTGACCGCCGTACCCTCCACGGTGTATTTGAAGATGAAGTTCTACACCAAGAGGGCCCGCGTCGCCACCATCCAAGGATACATCGTAGCTATCAGAAGATATTTCAATGCGGCCTCCAAAGGACAGAACATGGTCGACATTAGGGTACAACCTTCCAGCAGAACGACCTCCTCGACAACAACAACTCCCTTGGTGGATAAACCTGCTCAAGTTGAAGAACAACAAGCTCCACCAAAGGTCGACTCCATTGACTCCGACACCTGCTTCTCCAAAGATAAAGTCGAGGTCCCCAATGGCGAACATGATCCTTTCGGACCCATCCTTGACAGAGACTTTGAGTTCACCCCCCTCGATGAAGACCCAAGTAAGGGTGTGAAGATTGGTTCTGGACTCCCCGATCTAGTGAGGAATCAGCTCAAAGCCTGTCTGAGGGAAAACACTGATTTGTTCGCGTGGAGCGCTACAGAGATGCCCGAAATCGACCCTGAGGTCTCCTGTCACCAACTTACTATGGATCCATCCGCTAGGGAAGTAGTATAACATAGGCGTAGATAGTCTCCCGAAAAAGCGGAGGCTACTGAAGAAGCTGTAAAAGACCTCCTAGAGGAAAATTTTATTTCTGAGGCTCGGTATTCAACCTGGCTCTCCAACGTTGTACTTGTTAAGAAAAATAATGGAAAATGGCATATGTGTGTTGACTATACTGATCTCAATTGGGCATGTCCCAAAGATGCATTTCCTTTACCTAACATTGACATGCTAGTTGATAACTT